AGTTACAGACTTACTTATGGATGCCAATATGCTACATGTATAGAATCCATGAGTATAACTTGAGCACATAAGCTAAACACATGCACCATATTGCCAAGTATTCCTTTCACCACTGAGTCTGCTGATATCTTGTGCAAGTTAGTTATGTAAATAAAGTTCACAAAGTAATGAAATACAGAAACTAAAACATACGGTCAATCGTAGACATTTCTCACGTGATTTCATAGGTATCTTTCATCATGGCATCGTCTTCAGGATGTTTTGTAATCATTTATTGAACAGACTAGAAGAATGATGCGAGTTTATTGACATTAGGCCACACAGGATCAGTTAACTCAACTTTTATATTATTAATACTGAAAGGTCATAAAAAAGCGATATTCAGTGTATTGGAAAATACACATCTATAATCCTGACATTATAGATAAATACTAGTTTATTGACATTAGAAAAACAGCATAAAATAAATTTCTTTAAAACTGAACAATATCTATAAATGAATGAGATATATATATAATATGATTTGGTATGCTATATTGAAACCATTTTTACTATACAAATCAGCAAGTCACGCGACAATCACAGCCAATATAAAGTCGCCGTGTACGACTCTATCAGAACTGCATTTCGACACTGTTCAGCGTTTAGTTGGTAGTATGATCCTACCAAAACTTGATCGTTTTTAGGGAAAGGGTATTTAATAGCTCTTTCCGGCGCAAAATATTCCTAGTTTAGATTATAAAAATGTATTCAGATCGGAGATTAAGAACTTCCAAGACAGTAAATTTTCTAGTAATTAATGGTATCGGAAAACAAAGGAATATAGATCAACTTGGGGCACCAGGACCCGCCAAAAGTCGTAACCCAGTCGTTGTAAGCAAAGTGCGGCATCTTGTAAGAGGTGAGAATTCACCAACACAGAGGTCATTAGCAAAGGCCTTACGTGTGCTCCAGTTAATAGTACACAAAAGAATCAAGAAATCTGGAAACGAGAACAGGGTGTAGGTTATTCATCAAGGTAAGGCTCTGTTTAACCGTCGTATACTTCAAGCAGCTGGAGAATGAAACAAGTATTCATGTTATTTCATTCAAATGAATACCGGTCAAATCACATTGCATCGCCAATGGACTTTTGTGCAGTGGGACTAAGAAACCTTCGTTCTCTTACATTAGATAGTTTATGGAATGCCAACAAGGACGAATGGTGTGCTTTAAACATGATTGCCTTGCGACGGAGTCTTTTACTTGTCAAGATACACGGTTGTCAGATAGCGTATGACCAGACGTGGCGACATGGTCTGTGGTGAAGCTCCAAAATTGTTTTAATGTAACGTACTCAAACTATGTTTATATTAGATCGGTCTTAAAAAAATTATTTCAGCTCTTCCTTTAAATTGCCTAATTTTTTTTTCACAGTTCTCTCTTTACACAAACCTGCCCCAGTACAGACTACTTTATTTATTATTAACATTTATTATGGATTACATTAATTACTTAATAGACATTTTACGCTTAAAAACGGATGCTGTCATCTCGGTAATGTTTTAGTTGAAAAATCAACCACGTGTTTTACTCGAGTTTCGTAATTATGTTACCAGCGACTATTTTTGATCGTTATTTTCTTTTCACAGTGATGTTTAGAACATACTCTGACTCTATGACTCGCACATTTTGTCGTACTGTACTTCATACAGTTATATCACATGTAATTACACTGTATTAATTTCTCTAGCTCAGCGGCTTACCTTCGTAGTAGTATTTGCTTTCTTACGATGTTGGTATGATTTACACTTCTTGCGTACCCACTACAATGTAATTTCTCCCACAAATAAATTTAAATTAAGAAAACCCAGTAATCATACATTGATGACTGAAACATCCTTCC